AGAGAAAGCGTGAGTATCTTTCGCGATCGAGATAATGAGAGGCCACTTACGATCGGGGTCAACACTGGGGCCGGGAATTGGTTGGTTAGTGTATAGCTTGAGGAAGCCTCATTCGAGCTCTTCGTTGGTATGTCCAAATCACCCAAACCAGTGATATCTTCCACATAAGTAAAATAGCCACAGAAAAAATCTTCCCCTACGTGGGCCCCCTCTCCGTGACAAGACTCTGCAGCCTGAGCATCATGTATCATCGAATCCGGAACTAGAGGGAACGAGGAGGAGTCCCCGATCACTATTGCCTCAGGTGGGTCTTTAGAGGCATCATCTTCATTTTGGGGAGCCTCAAGATTGGTTTTTACACCAGCCTCGACCACCTCCTCGTTGGCCTCCCCACCTCGAGATGAGGCATCTTCAACTCTTTTCGGCTCGGGCTCATCAGATCGGGGCGAAGCAGCTATGGCTCCTGCCTGTCCAATGGTTCTTTGAACCTCCATGCCAGCTCGCACCCGAGACACCAACCCGGAGTCTTTTTCTTCTACGTCTTTATCCTCGGTCTCATCCAATAATTGGTGAGCGGATTCCAGATTTACGTGGATAACATTCCCCTTAGGCTTACGGGGCCTTCTGGCCGGCCTTTTCTTTTTCGGGCTTGGGGAACTTGGAACCTCCTTTCTTTTCTTCTCTTTGCCCTACTTCGGGGCTGACGGGGAAATGAGTGCCTCTTCTTCAGCAGAGGGGGCCTTATTGGCACGTCCTTCCCAAGGCCTACAAAATGAAAAAGACGAGTAAGTATAATAACAAAGCCCGGCTGAAAACCTTTCCAAGGAAAGAAATTTACCATGGTTACGGGCCTCCCATCAGCCCCTTGACAACTCCATCCAAGCTCGCTCGGAATAAGTTTTTTGTGACACCGATACCTCGACCCATTGCCTCAGGTCGGGGATCACTTTCGGTACAACAGCCATGGATGCAACACAAAAATTAAGATGAGGGGAAGACAAAAAGTAAGATTGACTCCTATTCCCACTTCTTAGGAGTGAAAGGCTGGTCTTGAAGAGCCTAGGTTCACTCATAACTTAGTGTGCAAGACCGGCTCTCCTCTTTCAACAATGTTCTGGAAAAAATGAATATTCAAAGGCAGAGCGGTACTTACGTTTCATGTTCCACTTTTCAAGGAACGGCATGTCTTTGGCAGGAATTAGATCCAAAGTCTTTATTCGGACAAATCTGCCCACCCAACCTACTTGAGAACGGTGGTTTGTTAACTCGGCGGTGGAGCTTGATCATGCCTCCACGATAAAGCCGGGGGGCGTAGAGGTACATGAGGTAATCGAGGGTAAAAGGGTGCCCCTCGATCTTGCTTACAAAGAATCGAAGGAGGATCATGATCCTCCAAAATGACGGGTGGATTTGGCCCAGAGTGATATCGTACCTCTTGCAAAAGGCAACAATGGTAGGGTCTAAAGGACTTATCGTGAAGGGGTAGGTATAGACATTCAGATATCCCTCCTTATAAGTTGTGATAGATTCTTCAGGGCTAGGCACTACTACATCCTTGCCTACCCAGTTGCACTCCTCTTTCACCTTCTCGAGAAGACGTTCGGTGATTGTACACATGTACCTCGACATTGGTTCACATCGACCCGGTGTCGGGGGTGTATTCTCCACCTTGAAATTGGCAGCAGTGACACACTTCATCGGAACGAAGTCTGCAAGGGGAAGTTCCACCGCGGCGCCGGCGCCGGCAGATTGTGATGAAGAGGCAGTTTCTTTGTGGGGAAAAATTTTAGAGATCTTAGCCATTTTTGAGAATGAGGAAGAACAAGGGTTAGGATATATGGCGTTTTAAGAAGAGGCTAGCGACGAAACTTGAGGGTTTGCAGAAGAAGAACTTGAAGAATGCAAAGAGCTTAGAAAATTATAGCAGAAGAGATTAAAGTAAAGTTTGAAAGAATAGGAAAGAGGCCTATATATGGGTTTCACGGCGACGGTTCAAAGTTGCTAGTGGCTGACCGACAACTGACGCGCCTTAAATGCCTGGAAAATTGAACCGATGGGACGTTCGATCACCTCTACCGCTTACGTCACAATGCTTACATAATGATAAACCAAGGATCGGTTCGTAAATTCAATTCGTTTCCTGTCATTACATTCTAAAAAATGAGGGGACTATCTATATACGTTTAAAACCGGGCCCACCCGACTTTACTGATTAACCGAGACAAGGGGGATGGATCGAGGATCAGCCCCATAGCATATCAGACCGAGGCATGAGGATAAAGTACCGAGCTTGGGACTCGAGGTACTTGTTGAGATCGAGATCAGTAATGATCGAGGTCGAACAGGATAGATGCTACACCCCATGTATTCGTACGTGAAGATACGCCATAAGTAAATTGATATAAGCTCATAAATGAGATGTTACATCCCGCATTTTCGCATGTTGAAGTTTCGTTGTAAGTTAATCGATGTAAGTTTGGGAATGAGATTATTTTAAGGTTATAAGCATTATGCTATTTCAACAAGCGATGAGTAAATTCGTGAAGGTGAGAGGGTAAGCAAATCGATAAAAATGAATTTCGTCGAAGTTTGACATTTTGGGATAAAATATGGTCCGAGCTATAATACCCGGTATTTATGGACTAGTGCCATACAAGGTACCACATGACCATGATAGTAAGGTGTATAAGGTGTGTTAAAAGTGAGTATATTTTAAGTAATTTAAGATAATTCTTAATTATGTGGATAATCGGGTAATTATTGATTTTAGTGGGAGATTAACAATTAATTAAGGTTTTGGTGGTTAATTGGTTAAGAATGGGTAAACATCAACGTGGCATCAAGCCACCCCAATATATGTAGGACTCTTAAGTCTTTATTGAGTAGGTGGAAAAACTAAAGATTAAGGATATGTGGTTAAGCCACCACATAAAGTGGGGCCCACATCCTTATATAAGATATCTCAAAATTAAGTCTCATGACTCTTGAGAGTCTCATCATGTTTCTTAGAGTCATATAATATGCATCTGCATATATCATATAAGCAATGCAAGACCTTCAGCAATTCAAATCAAAGTGAGATTTTTGCAATTATAAGGGAGTACGATGTAATCTTTCTCAAGAATATCATACGGATTTTCCCTACTCCGATATTGTCGTCACGTGTTTTATCGCAATTAACGTATGTTAGAAGGGTTTGTCAAGAGAATCGACTCAGGTATGTTAAGGCTATCCATTCTTTTCTTTTGGCATGATCCATACGATACAAACAAAACGGGCAAATGCACAACTTTCATAAATGACTCTATTCATAGAAATGCTAGAGATGCCTATGTTCATGAATTCCCATGTGTCTTATTATTACATCTTCTGTTCATGGGTCTTAGAAAATACGTAAGTTGAAAAAGTTTATTTCATGATATTAATCAGAGGCATAATGGTCTTATGATACTCCAAAAGATTTATTAACGTACTTCTCATGCATTGCATTCATTTACATTGACCCGTGACCAGATGTCGTATGTACGCGTATATATGTATATATATGTATATGGGATATGGGAAAAGGTTACGGCGTTATATACGCACCACCACCTGATCAGCTGGTATACATTGATGATTTGCCCACAGTGGCCGAGATGATATGATGGGACGCCCTCAGAGGCTTGATGATGTTATGAACGTATATACCCATGCATGGTATGACATTTATACGCATATGCATGACATTATAATATTAAATGATTTATAGGGATATTCAGATATACATGTTGAGTCTTTTACTCCATGTTTTTCTCATGTTTATTGTTTACTGATTTTCTTTCCTTACATACTCGGTACATTATTTGTATTGACATCCATTTTGCCTGGGGATGCTACGTTTCATGCCTGAAGGTCTCGATAGACAGGTTGAGAGTCCTCCAAGTAGTCTATCAGCTCAGCGAAAGATGTTGGTGCGCTCCATTTGCTCCGGAGTTGCTTATTTGGTTAGTATGATTTAAACATGTATTGATTAGTATGTCGGGGCCCTATCCCGGCCTTATGACGTTTATGTACTCTTAGAGGCTTGTAGACATATGTCATGTATATGAAAGATTGTATGGCCTTGTCGGCCTATGTTCAGTGTACGAGTAATTATTTTGGCCTTATAGGCCCGTACGTCATATGTATAAGTCAATATATCAGGTTGGGTCGTTTTATGTCGAGTGTTTTCTCATGTTTTATTCTTGTTACCCATACGGCCCTTCTAGCCCATTTACCCATGTTGATGTAATGAGAAAGATACGTTACGTTGGTATTCAGTTGAGTAAGGGCACTGAATGCCCGTCGCGGCCCGTCGGTTTGGGTCGTGACAATAGACATCGAGCGAGACCGAAGATAACATAATAACGAAAAGGCGAGATATCCGTGACTAGTCGAGAATCACGGCGGAAATCTCAGAACAGATCAAATCAAGGACGATTATTTAGCTAACCATGGGATTTCCTTCTGTAATTAGAATTATGCCGTAAATAGGATTTTCTCTACTGTATAAAGAGGGTCTTAACCATTTGTAATTATGTTACATTCACGCATATCAAAGCAATACAATACTCTTTTTCTCTCATACTCTCTTGTTCATCAGTTTATTTCATAATTATACTGTCACTCACTCAGTTTGAGGGCGACCTAATACGAGGGCTGAATTGCATTTCGATACTAGTTTGCTTTACTTTGTTGTTTATTTCTACTATTAATCATCGCATTTATTAATTTTTGGTGCTAGGTGAAATTACATATCCTTGAGCCACTTATAAGTTTAATTATTATCCGATTTTAAGGGTAAATGTCCAGTTTTGTAAGCTTTTATCAATTGCCCATTACGTGTTTATTTATCGTCACTACAATTTTATTCACATATCACTAATTACTTACTGAGTCATACTATAAAAGTTCGAGAGAGGATAGTGGATATGAGAGTGAGAAGAAGTGTATCTATTTTCGAGAACCAACTCGAATTTATGCCGGGACAGTCAACTATAGAAGCCATTCACCTTGTGAGGAGATTGGTGGATCAGTATAAGGAGAGGAAAAAGGACTTGCATGTGGTGTTTATTGACCTAGAGAAAGCCTATGACAAAATCCCGAGGGAGGTTCTGTGGAGATGTTTGGAGGTTAGCAGTGTTCAGATAGCGTACATTAGGGTGAATAAGGACATGTACGAGGGAGCTAAGACTCCGGTGAGTATTGCGCGGGGAAACTCAAAACATTTCCCAGTGGAGATGGGGTTACATAAGGCATCGGCTTTTAGCCCCTTTTTTTGCCCAAGCGTTGAATGTGCTGACTTGACACATACAAGGGAAGGTGCCATGGTGTATGCTATTGGATGATGACATAGTACTGATTGACGAGGCGCAAGACGGAGTTAGTACTAGGTTGGAAGTTTGGAGACAGGCGCTGGAGTCTAAAGGTTTCAAGTTGAATCAGTCGAAAACAGAGTACTTGGAGTGCAAGTTCAGCAATGGGATGCATGAAGCAAAAGTAGAAGTGAAGACTAATACTCAAGTCATCCCCAAAAGAGATAGTTTCAAGAATCTTGGGTCTATAATCCAAGGCAATAAGGAGATTGACGAGGATGTTACTCATCGTATTGGAGCGGGGTGGATGAGATGGAGGCTCGATTCTGGGGTTTTGTGTGATAAGAATATGCCACCAAGACTTAAAGGTAAGTTCTATAAAGTGGTGGGTAGACTGACAATGCTGTATGGGGCTGAGTGTTGGCCCGTCAAGACAATAAAGTAGCTGTAATGATGACGTTGAAATGAATGTGTGGTCATATCAAGAAAGACAACACTACTAGAAATTCAGCAAAAACTGACCGCGGCTGACCGACCGACTTTGGTCGGTTTTTCAAAATATTTTATTTTTCAATTTTTTTTTACGAAACCGACCAACTTCGGTGGTTTTTAAGGGAAAAAATGTGGGAAAATATTTTCGCATCCCCCTAAATTTATTTTTCAAGAAACCGACCAACTTTGATCGATTTTTCATTTAAAATAAATTAAAATTAATATTCAAAAAAAATTGGCCGGTTATTTCGGTCGGTAAGTTTATAAAACCAACTGATTTTGATCGATAATTTTATTTTTTAAATAAAAGCGACCAAAATAGATCTGTTGTTTTCGCGCGAAAATACAATTAAAAAGTATAAATAAAATCTTAAACCAAAATGCAACAATGATCTAGTGGTAGAATAGTAACCTGCCACAGTATAGACCAGGTTTGATTCTCAGACAGTGCAATTTTAAATTATATAATTAAAAATACCGACCAGTTTCAGTCGTTTTTTCGGCTGATTTTTTCTTTTTTGGGTCGTTTGTGAAATTTAATTGACCGACCGAAATCAGTCAAAAACTACCGACCGAAGTCGGTTGGTTGGCTCTACCGACCACACGATTACCGACCGCCATGAATCGGTCGTTTTTCGATCGATTTTTTCCAATTACTGACCAACATCGGTCGGTTTTCCCTCTATTTTTAGTAGTACAAGATTAGGAATGAAGATATTAGGAACGAGGTGAGAGTGGCCTTTCTGGAGGACAAGTTGGGGGAATCAAGGCTGATATAGTTCGGACATGTGAAGATGAGAGACATCGATGCCCCAGTTAAAAGGTGTGAGAGGTTAACCATTGTTGATACCCAATTTTGCCCTCATATTTTCTCAAATAGTATATATACTATCAAAACATCAATTTGCATCATCATTTAGTTTACAAACCTATACAAACATTTTCTATAATTTTCCCATATTTTTTAGAGCTTTAAAATTAATTTTTTTATATTTAAATATCCAGTAATTATCCTTTAAATTATTTTGTGATAACTTAGTTTCCTAAAATAATTATTTTGCACCTATAATATATGTTTCAAATATTTTTATTCTATTTCTATAATTGCATCAGCATTTTTTAAGCTATTTATCTAATTTCAACAATCGCCTATATTCATACATAAAGGCTCTTTATTCTATATTATTAGCAAATTTATATTTTTATAATACAAAGTCATTATTTTAAGTATGTCAGTGCATAAATGTATTTTCACTCATTTATTAAGCATTTTTATAAATTATTTTGATAATTTTTGGGGTATTTAGATAGTAGCCTAACTTCTTACCTATTTTCGAACCTAAACTACCCAGACCTCAGCCCAATTACCCCAAACCTTAGCCCAATTACCCCAAGCCCAAATCTAGACAACCCCTAATTCCCAACCCAGTCCAAAACCCGACCCCAACTCTTCTCAAATCCCAACCGTTGATCAAAAGTGATCAACGACTCACAAAATTTCCCCACCTCTCCTTATATCCCTACCCCAAAACCCTAGGGACCATTTTCCTTTCCAGCCGCCCTTACACGCTCTCTTCATTCCGTCAAACCCTAGCCGCCGTAACCCCTAACCCTCTCCGATTCCGGCTCAAACATGGAATCAATCCATGATTCAATTACCTATTTCGTGATACTCTATCATTATACGCTTGTTTATGGTATCACTTAGTTCTTGCCCTATTTTTGGCAAGTACTACTTCTCAAGAACAGGCTGAGTTACTTTGATTCTGTGAAGATCTGGACGATCTTTCATCTCTATACATGTTATATTGAATGGTTCTTGCATTTTGGTCCGATTCAAGTCGCCAATCTCAACTAGGGTTTGAGATTTTCCCTTATTCTTTACTGATTTTCGATTGATATTCTTCCCTTTCTTGTGTTTGACTGATATTTTCCTTATTTTGTTTAACCCACTATATTTCCCTATTTTTTATTTTTTGTTTGCCCTAAGACTGACTCTAATTGATTTTCATATGCTATTTTTCCTTATTCTCTATTCAGCCTATTCCCCTTATTTTGAGTGCTATTTGATTCTTGCATGTTATTTTTTCTTATTCTTTGTTTAATTTACTGAACTTCCTTATTCTATGTGCTATTTTTCCTAAAATTGATTCTAATTGATTCTGGCATATTTTTTCTTATTCTGTGTTTAATTGTTACCGTGTTTCCTATTTTATGTATGAAATATGCTACTATATAAACCCCTCTCATGAATTCCCCTTAACAAGATTTGAATCTTCGAATCCTTGCTATTGTTTTCACTACTCTACTCTCTTACTCACTCACTGGCACACTCGAACACTCTCTAAATTGTTGAACAACCTCCTCCGGTGCAAGCACTTCTTGAAGCCCATTCTCGAGGCTCTTGTGAACTCTGAAGCATCGGGGATTTGGGGTTTTCGCTATTACATTCTTCACTCTTTTGATTTTGCTACTGGTTAGTGTTTAAACCCTTAAAATGCTTAATTTCTTTCCTTCTTTCTGCATACGTATTTGAACTTGTATGAGCATGATTCAATTATGATAATGTTCAATTTCAATGTCTTTCTGTGTTAGTTGCACGCATGAAAGTAGCCTATTGTTTGTGTTATGCTTCACCATGACCTGCACTGTGTGATCTCTTATCTCCTGAGATTGGTTCTGTACCCCGTAACATCTTAACCTGTTTAATTTTGGACTTCAATTGCAGTCCACTCCAATATGAGTCTGACTATTGTGGTTAAGTTGCCAATTTCTGCATATTATGTTTTGATATTGCCCTAACTCTATGGAAACCCTTTTTTTTCTCGAATGATCCCTTTTTGGTACTAAGTCATGTGTATATTGGAATGCTCTTTAATACTGCCCTAAAGTCTGTTTTTATACTTGTTTCATACTATCCTGGATTTCTAAAAGACAAACACTCTATTTTCTAGGACTCTTATGCTAACATGTTTTCCAGTATACCTTGATTCATCTGTTGTTCTCCCCTTTCTGTGGTTATCAACATGTTATCCCTACATTGTGTTCAAGTGTTGATTAATATGGTATTAGGTTAGACTTAACTTACTTTAGACCTTTAGATGTCCACTTGTGCAACCTATGTATGCTTGCAAACTTGTTTCTTCTCCTAATTCCTATGATGTTTGTTTAGTGATATTTCACTATGTGAACCTTGCTAAACTTACTGGCTTGCTTGACCATTGTGTTCTATGCTCAATTCAGTAATCTCTATCTACCCTTCTTGCCGATTATCTTGACATTCTAAATTCCTATTCTTAGCCGGCTGAAAGCCAAGGCTATCTAGGTTCTATTGTTGGCCTCCCTACTGTGAGCACTGCTTGGGGTCCAATTGAGGCCCTTGTGAACTCTGACACACTAGGGGCTATGTTCTAGTCATTTTCTCAACCTCCAAAACTGTCCCTAATACTCTATTTCCCTATCATGTATTGTGTTTTATACTGGTTGTTCCAAGTGGTGCAACACTTGGTGCTGTGGTTCATTAAAAGGGGTCTGGACTTCCCTATGGGTCTGTGATCGTGTGATTCTTTGTTGAAGGCTTAAGTACACTATGTCAGAAGTATTGAAGGCCCAGCAAGGCTGGGTATTTAGTTGTTTTATTTGGGGCTTGCTATAGGCCTGTTTATTATAATGTAATATTACTACTTTACTTATTAACTTGGGTCTGTAATAATATCTTCGTATAAACGATTGCGGTGTTAGTAATAGGGGAACAGGTAGATTCTAATATTAATATGCAAGGTAGAAAACATGCACATAGGATTTATGTGATTTACTTGACTTGCTGTATATGCCGTTTAACTTCCACTAGTAGAAACCATGCCTTTAGGAAACTCACACACACATAACTTGTCCACCATCAAAGCATGGGTGCAAACACTCTATTTATTCTACTGTTATGTGCTACTAGACAACATGCAGGAAATAAATTCCAATGAACTTTCTTTTGATTTGTATGACTATAGTATATTCATTAGATACCATGCCTATATGATCTCACTAGTTTATGTTCGATTGATTTTCACCTAGAAATCATGTCTATAGGACCTTAATTAATCAATCATCTACTGCTATGGTTATCATATTGCTCTGCCTAGATAACATGTTAATAAATGTAATGGGTTATAAAATCAAAATTCGATTTGTCAATTGCTAGGGATCCTACCTATAGGATACTGTCACTCGCTTAACATTGTTTATCCCCTTGTCAAGGCTGGGTTCCCAGAATTATCTCCATTTATTTAACTATGTCACTATTAGATATCATGCCCATAGGACAATGTCACTTTTCTACAAACTGGTATTTAAAACCACGATTAACGGCAAATGGTCTACTGCCTCCTCGTCTAAGCCACTAAAGGCAGTAATGTTATATTTGTGCATTTGAATCCAAGGTCACCTAGAAATCATGTCTATAAGGATTTAAGTTCATTATTTTTTAACTGCCTAACATGAAAATCTGTTTTTCGCGTGCATTTGTTGTTTAATTGTGGAGGTTAATTTGAGCCTTTGATTGCTTCGTACGTGAAGTCCAATATGTTTTGTATGTCGCCTAGTTTTTGACATTTTCTGAGTAGCCTAAGTAAAGTTTAGAACCACCCAAAATAGAGGTCCAACGCCTCCTGGACCATAGGCATGGGATGTATAGTGCACGCATAAGGTACGACTTATAATTGAACTAGTGCGCTTTAGGTAACAACTTAAAGATAGTAATCGTGTAGCAGGAGATGATAGTCTGTGCCCGCTGAATAATATGAGTAACACCCCATTTCGAGGGAGTTACGAAGTATTATTTATGTTGCACGGGGTGATCCTTTAGGCTAAAAAACTTAGGACCCCCAATCTTATTTCCCTTTTACCCTATCAAGTGTTTGTATTCATTTACTCAAAATCTTTTATAATAATAAAATTTCCAAACTTTGTGCTCTCTCTCTCTCTATTTATTTGACTAATCCATAAAATTCAAGTTCGGCCGGACCCACAGTTGTGGACCTCGAAGAGTGCCTAACACCTTCTCTTCAAGGTAATTTCGAGCCCTTACCCGATCTTTGGTGAGGCAAACTAGTTAAACCTGAGTCATTGCAAATAGGTGTCATAACGCACCTTAAAAATTGTTAGGTGGCGACTCTTCTCTTTTTAACCCTTCCTTAAAAAGAGTTGTCACATGACGAAACCCGCTCTCGCGAGAAAACGGGACGCGACAACCATGACGGGTCTGAGAAAGGGTAGTGGTCTGCCAAAGAAGTACTGGGGAGAGGTGATTAGGCATGGCATGTCATTGCTTCAGCTTACCGAGGACATGACCCATGGTAGGAAGGTGTGGAGGTCGAGGACTAGAGTTGAAGGTTGACAGAGAGCAGTGAGTTACTCCTAGATTTATCAGTAGTACTAGTACTATTCTTGTATTTTTCATTCCTGGTTCTTTATTATTATATGTTGTATCATTCGCTTCTATTACCCTATTACATTATTGTTACTATTATTTGTTGCTTTATTTTTACTATTTCTTGAGCCGACTGTCTATCGGAAACAAGTTCTCTCTACCTTTATAAGGTAGGAATAAGGTCTCCATATACACTACCCTTCCAAACTCCACATATGAGATTACACTGGGTTTATCATTGTTGTTGATATCATTAGTTACTTCAGCATTAGAAATTGACTTATCGATTTCCTAATATTCTTATTTTGACTGCCTGCTACCTTATTGGCTAGGCTCCAATAGACAAAGCACAAATGACAATTGCTCTAACTCTACCCAAAGGAACTTTGAATCTTTCACGCATATTGTAGATTACTGGATTGTTTCTGTTAAAATCAAGCCCTAGATCTGCCATGGATAAGCTGTGATCTTCAGCTAAGAAGGAAGAAGAAGATAGAGAGAGAAGGGAGAGATAACCGCTCTCATTTTCTGATTAACTAAAAAAAGAAAATGTACTGTACATATGTATATACTAACTCACTGTAATTCCTACTAATGCACCTTCTAGAACAATACACCATAAATAGCTATAGGTACAACTGAATTAAGCTAACTGAGCTACTAATTTCCACACTCCCCCTCAAGTTGAGGATGGAAAATGTTTTTCATTCCCAACTTGGAAACTAGAAAAGCATTTTGTTGATGTCCCAAAGCTTTTGTCAAGATGTCTGCTGGTTGATCATTGCTCCCTATGTGTTCAGTCTTGATTAGTCCCTCTTGAATTTTTACCCTTATAAAGTGGCAATCAATTTCTATGTGTTTGGTTCTTTCATGATAGCTGGGATTTGCAGCTATCTGTAAGGCAGCTTTGTTATCACAAAACAATTTCATAGGTTCTTTAATGTCAACTGTTAGTTCCTTTAGCAAGCCCCTCAACCATGTCAACTCTGCCACTATATGAGCCATACTCATGTACTCAGCCTCAGCTGAGCTCCTTGAGATAGTAGACTGCTTCTTTGCCTTCCATGAAATAGGAGAATTCCCTAGTTTGACACAAAATCCTGTCACTGATTTCCTGGACATAGGACATGCTTCCCAATCTGAGTCACAATAACCTTGAACCTTTTCTGTACTTTTGCTGGACATTAGAAGTCCCAGTCCTGGTTGATCCTTAATATACTTCACAACATGTAGTGCAGCTTCATAATGAGACTTCTTTGGAGCATGCATAAACTGGCTCAGACTCTGCACAGAATATGCATATGTCAGGTCTTGTGATTGTCAAATATAAAAGTTTTCCAACTAAACTTTGAAAGGTACTTCTGTCTTCCAAAATGCTGTCATCAGTGTTCTCCTTTACAATCTAATCAAACTCTACACTTGTAAGTTTCAAATTCTGTTCCATTGGGGTCTTCTTGGGCTTTGACCCTGAGAGTCTTGCTTCTGAAATCATTTCCAAAGCATATTTCCTTTGGGACATGAAGATGCCTTCTGATGACCTGGCAATTTCAATTCCTAGAAAATATCTCAATTCTCCAAGATCCTTTAGTTTGAAGTTCTGATGTAAAGATGTTTTTATGCTTCAATCTCCTTAAGGTCATTACCTGTAATGAGCAAATCATCTAAATAGACAAGTATGAGAACACATTTTCCATTAGTTGTTTCAGTAAACAAAGAGTAGTCATGCTTACTTTGATGGAAACCAGAGTTTAGAAGGGCTTGTGTCAGTTTCAAATTCCATTACCTAGAGGCTTGTTTCAAGCCATAGAGGGATTTGAGTAGTCTACATACCCTGTGCTACCCCTGGCTACCAAATCCCTGAGGCATAGTCATGTAGACTTCTTCATGTAAGTCACCATTTAGGAATGCATTGTGAACATCTATTTGAAAAAGTGGCTAGTGTTTAAGTGCAACAACTGCAATAACAGTTCTGTTGGCTACAGGAGAGAATGTATCATGAAAGTCAATTCCTTCTTGTTGAGTGTATCCCTTGGCCACTAATCTGGCCTTAAATCTTTCTACTGTGCCATCTGCATTATATTTAATCTTGTAAACCCATTTACACCCTATAGGAACTTTTCCAGGAGGCAAAGTCATAACCTCCCAAGTGTTGTTTTGTTCTAATGCCTCAATCTCAAGTTTCATGGCCTTAATCCACATGCCATCATTGATAGCTTGAGAGAAAGATGTTGGTTTAAGATCAGAAGAAAAAGAAGCTAGGAAGGCCTGAAATGGAGAGGAAAGGTGAGAATAGGAAATGAAATGGTGTATAGGGTAAAGTGATGAAGCAGAAGCAGAAGTAGAAGTAGAAGTAAGGGGAGGATGAATATAATCAGTTAGCCAGATGGGAGGTTTGGAGACCCTAGTTGACTTTCTAATTTGTGAGCTTGGTGCACCAGGAGTGTTAGATGTCAATTCTGAGGGCAAATGAGGAGCAAAGGAAGATGAGTGAGTGGGATCAATAGGGATATCAGCAGGAGGAACAGGAGGAGGATTATGTGAGTCTGTGAAATCATTTGGAAGATCAGGGACAGGAACTTCTGTCTCATTAGTAGTAGAGGATGCTGGTGGTGTATTTGAGGATGGAAATATATCTGAATCAGAGTGATTGGGAATAGGATCAGAAGTCACTAGGAATTTGTGTTTAGGAAGTTTAAGGGGGAACATGTCTTCCTTAAAAACCACATCCCTGCTAATTATGAATTTGTCAGCAGCAATATCGTACACCTTATATCCCTTTTGTGTTGGTGCATAGCCCATAAAGACCCCAGGTGTTGATTTGGGGTTGAACTTATCATGAAAGTCAGTTTTAGTGGCATAGCAAAGACAACCCAAGGTTCTCATGTGAGCAAAAGAAGGTGGTTGCCCATGAAACATCTCATAAGGAGATTTTCCTTGTAGAACAGAACTAGGCAGCCTATTTATGATATATGTTGCTGTTAGGATACAATCACCCCAGAATTTTAAGGGTATGTTTGCTTGGAATCTCAAGGCTCTTCCTATTTCAAGAAGGTGTCTGTGTTTTCTTTCCACAACTCCATTTTGTTGTTGAGTGTGAACACATCTGCTTTGATGAATTATGCCTTTGGACTTGAAAAGATTGAAACAAAGAGAGTTAAAAAATTCATGTCCATTGTCTGATCTGACACATTTGACAATGGTTTTAAATTGATTTTCTATAAGCTGAAGGAAGTCTTTCAAACAACATATACATCACTCTTGAGTCTTAAAAGAAACACCCATGTCATTCTAGTATAGTCATCAACAAGAGTTAGAAAGTATTTGAAGCCATTGTAGGTACACACTCTATAGGGTCCCCAAACATCCATATGAACTAAATCAAAAGAAGAAGTAAATTTAGAAGTACTGATAGGAAATGGTAATCTAACTTGTCTAGAAAGAGGACAAACAGGACAGTTACAAACAGATGACTTAGACAAGTACTTATTTATCTCATATATAGTCTGTAAGACTGCCATAGGGGCATGTCCCAATCTTTGATGCCATAAGGAGCTTGAACTTGGTTGATGAGAAACTGTCATGCATTTGGAGGAGGAAGAAGCAGTAGCAGGTTCTGAAGGATTAAAGATGTAAAGACCTCCTTTGAGTCTACCAATCCCCTTCACCTTGCCACTGTAAAGGTCCTGAAAGATGCAAAAATCAGGATAAAAATGGACAGCACTATTTAACTCTTTAGTGTATTTGGATATAGATAACAAGTTGTACTTGAATTCAGGGACATAGAGAACATTATGAATGGTTTCTGAGTTAAACAAGTTGCAGGAACCAGTGTGGGTGATTTTGGTGCTATTACCATTTGGTAGGTGAACTGAGGGTGTCTTAGGTTTAGGCATTTGGATAACTTTTGACAAGATATTCAAGGATGATACTATATGATTTGAGGCACCAGAATCAATAATCCAACAGCTATGTTCAGTTGGTGACTTACCTGCCATGTTGGCAACTTCTGTTGGATCAGGTTCCTTGCTCAATAGTTTTAGGATCTGCTGATATTGCTCTGGAGTGAATCCTTGCACAGTTGGAACAGATGGAATATTTTGCACTGCATATGCCTTTCCTGCACTTTGACCATCATCACTTGCATTCACATTATGAGCCATAGGTCCATTGTTGTCATGTATTCCTCTTCTTTTACTGTTGTTGAACTTAAAGCCTAGTGGATATCCACTGAGTTTATAACAATTGTCCCTTGTATGCCCCTTTATCTTGCAGTAATCACATGCCAAAATAGTGTTCCTTCTAGGTCTCATATTAGAAGCATTTGCTGTCACTAGTGCACTACTCTCCATCCCTAAAGGTGCACCTCCTAAAATTCCATTCTGTGCAGTAGAACCAACACTCATCCTTTGACTTTCCTCTTGAACAATCATAGAGTATGCATGGTCCAGTGTTGGTGTAGGGTGCATCATCAGGATTTGGCTCCTTTGTGGTGCATAAGTCTCATTCAACCCCATTAAAAACTTCATAAATTTCTGCTGGTGCAAAAACACTACAGACTCTCTGGATTTCTCACAGTCACACCTAGGAAATGGGATAATTGATTCAAACTCATCCCATAGGTCATTCAGTCTAGAAAAATATACAGACACACTAGAGATTCCTTGTGTCAAGGAGCTTATTTCCTTATTCATGTGATAGATTTTTGTAGCATTTACTTTATCAAACCTATCCTTCATAGATTTCCATACCTTTTGTGCATCTGAGGAATACACAATTCCTCTCCTTAGTTCTGGCACCACTGAGCTTCTAATCCATGACTGTACTATTGCATTGCATCTTTCCCATTGCCTTAGCCTAAAGTTATCTTTTTCATACTGAGCCCTAGTGCAGGTTCCGTCTATAAAACCTAGTTTATTCTTTACCAAAAGTGACATTGTCATAGATTTACTCTATTCCGAATAGTTTTCTATTCCAATTAGTAATTCTGGTACAAGTGAGATACCTGGTGTATCTGAAGGATGTACATACAGCGGATCATTGCAATCAATTGTTTGAATGTTTGCATGTGATGATTCAGCAGTTGTACCAGTAGCATCAATCGCCATTTTAGCAGAAAATTGAACAATTTCTGAGAATTTCTTACTCGAAAAACGAATTTTAGGAAAACAGTTGAAGAAGAGAAGAAACAGAGGTTTTAGAAGAAATGATGAGATGCTGGAGCTCGAGAATCAGAATCGCTTGGAGCCGGGCTCTGATACCATGTTAAAATCAAGCCCTAGATCTGCCATGGATAAGCTGTGAGCTTCAGCTAAGAAGGAAGAAGAAGAGAGAGAGAGAGAAAGGAAAGATAACCGCTCTCATTTTCTGATTAACTAAAAAAAGAAAATGTACTGTACATATGTATATACTAACTCGCTCTAATTCCTACTAATGCACCTTCTAGAACAATACACCATAAATAGCTATAGGTACAGCTGAATTAAGCTAACTGAGCTACTAATTTCCACAGTTTCATTATCACACTGGGTTATGCAAGTTTTTGGTTATTAAAAAGGATTTTTTCATTCATATACACTATTTGAAACTTTATTACCCTTAATGTCCATGTTTAGTTAATTACCCGGCATAAATAAGTTTTGCTTACAAAATATATACAATGCACCTTAAAGGCTCCCAAATCCTTATTTGTGCCTTCAATCAAGGGATTTAGTTACACCTCCTTTTTTTTTTTCTCTTCTTCTCTTTTAATATCTTTTGAAAAATACAAAATGTTTTTCCGTAACAAAATTTCCACCGGTTCATTTCCTTTTAGCATTGCAGTTACTTGACACGTTGGCGATCCTTGAACGAGTTGTATATTGTGAGATTCAATTTTGGAAAACGGTGTTTTTTTTATAATGAGAACTACAAAGAAAAGCTATTTCATAAAACACGTTATTTATCTGGGGAACTTTTAAAGAACCAAGAATTTGCACATTGATACATTAAAAACTGAATGTAATCAGAAAAATATGTTACAGGTTACAAGTAACCCCTCACACCCCTTTCCTTTTTTCAAGACTGGTGATGAAAGGATAATGACCAATCAGAACACAAAGAAAATAGATTAACTAACTAATTGGCAGTTCAGATACAGACTGGGCGGTATTCTTGTCACCACCTTCTACCTCAAACCAGAAGAAGAGTGACGTACGAGTATAAACCACTCGTACTCGTTGCAATAAAAAGTATCATATTAAAATGAAAAGACAAATGGAAAAAGTTTATGTTAATAGTTTTGACAGAATAGAATTATTTATGATGTGAAGTAGCACGAACAACTTATCTATAAATTATCTACAGCTTTCACACATTATTTCTACCCAGTTAAATACAATTACAATAACATACAAATTTTATACAAAATTTTAACAATATGTCTTTTGTATATTTTGTATATGATTTATACATAGTAAAAATAAATTTCATACAACTAATTATATATTATACAACTTATCTACAATCACGTTATCATACAACTTAAATATAATTTTATACAATATTGTTCAACTTTCAACAATAATTAAATAATATATATATATATATATAATATATATATATATATATATATATATATATATATATATATATATATAAACAACATAATATAATTTTTCTACAGTTTTTCTACAATTTCGTAGATATAATGTATATCATGTCTTCTTCTTCGAGTTTCAATCTGAAATTCAGCCAAAATCAAGTCTAATCTTCACCAAAACACCCTCAAAATTGAGATATAAACTCCAAACCATATACCAAATTGTTTGCAACAACACCCAATCCAAACAAGTAATGATTTTTGAAAACCCAAATTCGAATTCAAAGCTTCAAAGCTTTTTAATGGCTGTCTATGGTGGAATTGCTGCTCTCTTTTCCTTTGCTTTACATTACTGAAATTAGGGATTGAGAGATAGAGAGAGACGTAGAGAGAATTCCCAATTCTTTGCAATAACATCCAATTCAAACAAATAATATTTTTTGAAAACTCAAATTCGAATTCAAAGCTTTTTAATTGTTGTCAATGGTGGAATTGCTGCTCTCTTGTGCAAGATACATGGGCGAGGGGGTGGGATGTGGAGAGAGAAACGTGGGGAGAGTGGATGATACGGTAGAGTGATTTTAGGACACTAATTATTATCATTAATTCCCTTAAAATGTACATAAATGGTAATTGGGTATATAATATGTAATTATAGTAAAACTTGAGTAGGGTGGGTAATATAGTTTCATATAGTGTATAGGAATGTAAAAATTCCTATTAAAAATAGCTTTTTGGGTTTTAACTTTGAATTTTCGGGTCAAATTAATAACTAATAGTAGCTTGTTCAGCCAAGCTTCTAAAATCAGGTTATTTTGAAAAGTATCTTTTTCAAAAAACAAAATTTATTGAAATAATTTATGTTTGGCTAACTAATTTAAAATGTATTTTTGAACAACAATTTGCATTTGAACCAAGCTTTTAAAAGTGATTCTAATAGCCTGTTTGACCAAGCTTTCAAAGGTTAAAAGTATTTTTTGTTAGATGAAAAAGTACTTTTTTGAAAATTTGATGTGTGTTGGTTAAGATGGAGAAGTGTTTTTGAGCAGTTGTATAAGTAATTTTTCTGCTTTTGGGAAAAAGCTACAAATTCTAGCTTCTTCGAAGATGCAGAAGCGAAAAATTATTTTTTTTATGATAAAAGTATTCTTACAATAAATTTATATTTTTCAAGTTGTCCTTCATTTATTTTGCTTTTTTTTATTATATTTCTATCGTATTTTTATTCTCCTTTTCCTATTCTTCTTTGAAATAATCTCTATACTATAAATAGATTTCTTTTTTCATATATGATTAATGAAGTAGGTTCCAGCACGGTGTAGAACTTAAAGAAAACACCAACCTCGCTATATAACGTATTAATGCATACTGAATGATTATATTTTGATATATTAAATTGTTATATAAACTAGGTAATACTAGATACCTAATGTTTTTGCTTTGGATAACTATATTTTAAATTAATTAAAAATTTAATATATATTTTTACTTTATGTTTAATATTCTAATTAAGTAAGAAGAAAATTTAACTTTTAATAATAAATATGTAATTTAATTTCTCTCTTTTAAATAATATACTAATTGTGAACTCAACATTTACTGTCATTTTTTTTTTTTTTTGTAATTTGACATTCAATAGTAACTTTTTAAAAAGATTAGCCAAACACAATTTACTTATCAAATATTATAACAAGTACTTTTTAAATAAATTGTTCAAATACAAACTGTAACTTTCAAAAGTATTTTTTTGGAAAGCACTTTTAAGCAAAAACACTATCAAAATAGGTAATTTTTAGCAGCTCGGACAAATGGGTTCTAAATGTATTTTTCTCAAAAGTGCTTTTCAAAAAGTATTTTTGAAAAGAAATTAATTTTAATGCTTCTCGAAAATATGCTTATGATGAAAAGTAAAAAGTAAACAAAAAATAAATTAATTTCGCCAAAAAGAGGAACTTGGGTATAACTTTGTTTTCGGAAACAAACACTATTAAAATCAAATTTTAAATCCCCATGGAAAAAACAAACCAAACAGTGAACTTATCCGGTAGAATCACCCCTTATCTCACCAGTCACCAGCATTAATTCCTAACCAAATGATGTGAAGTCATTAGAAAAAAGTGACGGCTGAGATTGTGTGAGCGCACACATCCAAAAATTCTACCAACCGGAAAGATAACGCTAGACGAAAGGTGATATTTTTCCGGATAGTCCAGCTGAAACTGAAGCGCGGTCTACAAGTCAGGCAGTCATGACAACAACTCCCGTCGCCAATCATCCTAATATTTTCACTCACCGGGCGCCGCCGTCCTCCTCCTCCTCGTCTCCATCGGCATTCTTAACTCGTACGAGTTTCCTCCCTTTCTCTTCCATCTGCAAGCGCAATAGTGTCAATTGCAATGGCTGGAGAACACGATGCTCCGTTGCCAAAGATTACACAGTTCCTTCCTCAGCGGTCGACGGCGGACCCGCCGCGGAGCTGGACTGTGTTATAGTCGGAGCAGGAATTAGTGGCCTCTGCATTGCGCAGGTGATGTCCGCTAATTACCCCAATTTGATGGTAACCGAAGCGAGAGATCGTGCCGGTGGCAACATAACGACAGTGGAAAGAGACGGCTATTTGTGGGAAGAAGGTCCGAACAGTTTCCAACCGTCCGATCCTATGTTGACTATGGCAGTAGATTGTGGATTGAAGGATGATTTGGTGTTGGGAGATCCTAATGCGCCTCGTTTCGTCTTGTGGAAGGGTAAATTAAGGCCCGTACCTTCCAAACTCACTGATCTTCCCTTTTTTGATTTGATGAGTATTCCTGGCAAGCTGAGAGCTGGTTTTGGTGCCATTGGCCTCCGCCCTTCACCTCCAGTTTGTACTCTTCTAACTTTAATGCATTTATTTTGATTCTGTTGACACAAAAAATAAAAATATAAAAATTGCAAATTAAAGAGAGATTGTAAAATTCAACAGTTTAACCTCACAGTGTAACGATAGTGTTAAACCATCAGTGTAATTTAACCTGTTATACATTTATTTTACGTTACTAATTAATGCTATGCTGATAGAGGTATATGCAATTACCTCTTAAATAACCTGATTGTGTAAATAATTTTTGCACTTTTTTGATAATCTGTGCCTTTTCCCTCACTTAGCATGTTTTGGCAAAGATGACAGGGTCATGAGGAATCAGTTGAGCAGTTCGTGCGTCGTAATCTTGGTGGTGAAGTCTTTGAACGCTTGATAGAACCATTTTGTTCTGGTACCTGCCTATTCGGAACTACTGCCTTTATGGAATTTGTTCACTTTCTTAAATACCGTTTGCTATAGAGATTCATATCGTGCGAATTAGAACTACATATATATATGTAGTTCTGTTACCTGCCTATTTTCAATCGATTTTATTTGATAGTCCTCGTTTTGTATAGGTGTTTATGCTGGTGATCCCTCAAAACTGAGTATGAAAGCAGCATTTGGGAAAGTTTGGAAGTTGGAACAAACTGGTGGTAGCATTATTGGAGGAACCTTTAAAGCAATAAAGGAGAGATCCAGTACACCTAAAGCGCCTCGTGATCTGTAATGGACTTGATTTAAAGCCTTTGTGCTTTTTCTTTCCAGGCCTTGTGCTTTTTCTGTTAAGAATATATGTATTGAGAGAGAGTAGGCTGACTTGAGTAATCATTCTACAGGCGTTTACCAAAACCAAAAGGACAGACAGTTGGATCATTCAGGAAGGGTCTGAGAATGCTGCCGGATGCAATCAGTGCAAGGTGCCCTTCTCCTTTCCCAGTTCAATGTCTCCACCCCACTCCCACCCCCAGTATAAAATTTCAGGGGGAAAGAAGAGAAGAAAAATATCAAAATTTAAGGACTAGTTAAAGCTCAGTTTTGGCATTTTTTCGGCCTAAGTGCAATGTTATCAAAAGCGAAAAGCGCAAAAAAGCTCTAAAGTCTATTAGGGCTTTAAGCGCAAAGCGCAAATAAAGCGTGGGCTTTAATGAAGAAAGGCTCAAATGAAAAGAAAAGAAAACTACAAATATGTATGTATAGTCCAAGACTAATATCTATAAGTATGAATACCAAATATATGGACAAAGACATTGAAGAAACTTTATTATAAAGTGAAATATCAATTGTTTAGCATCGCCTCTTCAGGATTACGCTTATTGGCAAGGAAAAGTATGCTTTTAGAGCCTTGATGACAACGCTGAAGCGCCCGCTAAGCGAGGCAAAGCGCTCAACATGTTTTGAGCCTCGCTTCAGGGCTTAAGCGCGCCTTTGATAACACTGCCTAAGTGTGTTCTTTGGTGCTCTTGTTCAAGCAGTTCTCTAGTATTTTTACCTTGGCTCCACCCCACTCCCACCCCCAGTATAAACGTTTAGGCGGGAAAAAGAAAGAGAAGAAAATTATCAAAAGTTAAGAAACCTATGTTTTGGCTTTTTTCTGCTAGGTGTGCTCTTTGGTGCTCTTGTTCAAGCAGTTCTCTAGTATTTTTACCTTGGAAATGCTAATAAGTTGTCGCCGTGTTTCCTTAGATTGGGAAGCAAATTAAAACTATCATGGAAGCTTTCTAGCATTACAAAGTTAGAAAAAGGAGGATATCGCTTGACATACGAGACACCAGAAGGAGTAGTTTCTCTTCAAAGTCGAAGCATTGTCATGACTGTGCCATCCTATGTAGCAAGCAACATATTACGTCCTCTTTCGGTGTGTTTCCATTACTGTTTGCTCCAAAGTCGTTATTGCTATTGTTCATTTGGCACTCTAATATAGAAACTTGGATAAAAAAGGGGATCCTTTAATTTTTCTTTTTCTTTTGGACTAGGAAAAGCGGCTCAAACACATGTATAACAGTCATATACTATGTATAATATGTGTATGCAATATAATGTGCAGAGAAAGACTTATCGGAGAGAAGAGAATTAAAAAAAAAAAAGAACATTTGCGTCGCACGGAGAATTAACATGTACATGCTTAATGAGGTCAAGAGCGCAACCGTACCCCACCCCTCATGAAAGATTGAACCTGTATCTCATGTTATTGTGAGTTTTTTTCATATATAAATTTATGAGCAATTTTCTTTAAATGCTTTGACCTTGGATTTTTCGAAGGTTACTACTTCTGATAATTGCTTTGCAAGAAATGCGGCTCACTTAAAATGGGAAACGTTTATCTATAGGTTGTGGTTCAGCTTCTTCTGTTTCTTGCTAAAGCAAAATGTCTCCTAAACTTATATTAAACTCAGGTTGCCGCAGCAGATGCACTTTCAAATTTCTACTATCCCCCAGTTGGAGCAGTCACAATTTCATATCCTCAAGAAGCTATTCGTGATGAACGTCTGGTTGATGGTGAACTAAAGGGATTTGGGCAGTTGCATCCACGTACACAGGGAGTGGAAACACTAGGTAGCTTTCTGTTTGAAGGATTCACTCTAATTTTAACTTCAAGAATCCATATTGAAGATGGAAAACTTTTATTACGACAATTGCAAGATGCAACTCACTGAAGTAGCATTCCTCTATCGCATCTGCAGGAATAATATATAGCGTATCAGTCTTCCCTGACCATCATTACCTAGAAATTTTGACAGTACCATGCAAATCGAAGATGAATGAGTTCAGAACAATAACATCAGGATGTGATTCATCTTAAATATAATACTTGCGTTTCATATGCAGGAACGATATATAGTTCATCACTCTTCCCTAACCGTGCCCCAAAAGGTCGGGTGTTACTCTTGAACTACATTGGAGGAGCAAAAAATCCTGAAATTTTGTCTAAGGTAAGGCATTTAAATTGAGCGCAACTTCAAGTCCTGCCGGTATTGATTTATCATAATGAATATTCATGGGCTGGCCAGTTGGGGCATCGCTTGAAGGTTCCTATGGTAACAAACAGAAAACTGAGAATGACCTTATGACCTTATCCCCTGATTTCTTTTGGTTGCAAATACGTTAACCTTGCAGTGATGAGGAAAATGTTTTCAGTGTTATTTTCTCTAGATTAATGCCGTAGTTGGTTTGGATTACAAAACCGTTTAGGCTTATATAACTAAGTGATTAGAGTCTCCAGGTTTTTGATCTAGGTGTAAGAGCAAAATGTGTGATATTTTAAAAAAACAGTCAAGTGATTACAAATCCTCAGAATAGTTTCACCATAAAGAACTAAAGAGCTAAGAAGATTGTGGTTTCTCTTTCCTCTATGTTCGACTGCATTTTGTGGGTTTTCCATAGCATGACTTTCTTTTATGGTGTACTTGTACGAAAGCATTTCGCGGTTATTCTTTATGCTTCAGGGCCTAGAATAAATTGCTTTGAGATTTGATTCCTCATTCTTCTTGCAGACGGAGAGCCAACTTGTGGAAGTAGTTGATCGTGACCTCAGAAAAATGCTTATAAAACCCAAAGCACAAGATCCCCTTGTTGTGGGTGTGCGAGTATGGCCACAAGCTATCCCACAGTTTTTGGTTGGTCATCTGGATACGCTAAGTACTGCAAAAGCTGCTATGAGTGATAATGGGCTTGAAGGGCTGTTTCTTGGGGGTAATTATGTGTCAGGTGTAGCATTGGGGAGGTGTGTTGAAGGTGCTTATGAAGTTGCATCTGAGGTAACAGGATTTCTGTCTCGGTATGCATACAAATGAAACCTGTCCTGGGGGTACTGCTAGGTCCAAACCTTGTTAGTAATACGATCATGCCTTGGGAATATTGGCATGTGCCTATAAGTTTTGCTCATTAGAGTTATTTTAGCCTTGGTAAATGATTTGTACTTGATATCAGTCGTTTTCTTTGAGATAAAATGTTCCTGTTCAGGAAATATAATGTATATCAATTTTAAACACTTGAATGTTGAATATCATTTTTTCCCCTCAGCTTACCCATAAATGTGAAAGGTCCTTTGCTTCTGCATGGTGAGAGACTGCCGATATATTTTCTCCAACTTCCTATGGTTAAATATGGTTTGCCTTGTCATTCTTTGTTTTCTTTGGGAGATTATTTATTCCACGACCAGAAGTAAGGGATTATACCACATTCAAGGGCATACTTGTGGCAACAAAGACTAACTGTGCAAGGGTAACAGTGAGAGTATATATTTATTACTCACTTCTAATAAAGAGCAAAGTTAAGGGGATTCGATGATTTAGGAGCAAATTAGGCCTTTTCCCTTGAGTTAATAAACAGATGCTATTAAAATTTTACTTCTTTGTATTTAAATTTGATATAGGTAATATGTTCTGTCATACAACATTTATTAGGTGTAATTCAATAGTACTTTTTAAAAAACAGTTTTTTAACATGAAATCAAAAATAGATCACGATTGCTCTTGTATAGATCTAGTCTAGTTAAAATAAATAACTGCATAAGCGTTTGCCCACACTAATCATATAGGCACCCAAAACTCTCCTCCTTTTTCGTCTCCAAACGTCTCCTCCCTCGCTAAATGTTATCAACAATTTATAGTTAATGGGCATTCCAATATTTAGATTAAAGGAAGAGCTGCCTTGATTTGATTTTAAACAGATAAGCATGGAAAGAAAGTTCTTTCTTAAGTTTTGTTGTGCATTGGTCTAATTTGGCGACTTGGTAATAGCTAGATACAGGATCGAGGACGGGGTCGACCATAGCGTAATAGCAAAAAACCCTCTTTAAGGGGAGCGTAGTCGAGGACGGACAACTGGGGTACAAGAGTAACGGTAGGATAGACTTAGGAATGAATACAAGGAATATTCCTTTGGGTATTCCCTATTTTGTATTCATTAGGGTTTCTTGGAAATACCCCCTATAGATAAGAAGAGATAGAGAATAAGAGGGGGATCTTCACTTTCTGAGAAAGACATATTGTAAAAGGTTGACTTGAGAGAATATACAAAAGTTGTCTTGTTCATTGATTATCTTATCCAAGCACATGCTACTTAATCTTTGTTCACAAGATCCAAAGATTCCATAACCATCTTCACTTCTCTTCTTTCCACGTTGCTGTCAGGGGAAAGAACCATCCAAGTCATATAATTGGATGGTAGATTCTTTCTTATTACCTTTATTGTCATTATCTACATTTATTGCATGTTTGTGTTATCATATTTAATAGCATTCATTGAATACAAATGTGCTGATTAACGTTGTTCATCTTACTGACTTCTCACAGTATTTGGTCTAGAATTTATTATTTTTAACTAAGATTCATCCTTCATCTCATCATTAATTGGTTTAACTAAAAGGCTCAACACTTTTTGGTCAAATAATTTGACGTCGTCTGTGGGGAAGGAGGGGGATCTTCACTTTCTGAGAGGAAGAGTATAACCAATCAAGAACGGGTAGACATAGAAGGCACAATACCCAGGTCGATGGACCTCCACGATGTCGCCACCGGCCAGAACTATGTCAATATGGGGAGGGATGCGATATTTGGACCGAAGGTCGGCTTATATGAGGCGGTCCAGTCTCTGAGAGCACCTGAGTGGGAGCAGGAGCAGGAGCAGGAGCAGGAGCAGGCTCCTTTGGAAAATCATTTCTAGCCAAAGGGTTTTTGGGAACTATCTCTTCCGCGGTAGGGAAGCTATCATCCTCTTCAGCCATGAATTCCTCACCGCCGGGAGGAAGGGCCACCGATAACGGAGTGGCATCGAAAACTTCATCATGAATGTGAGGGGGTTGAGACATATTTCAACAATGAAACGTATTCTACCAAGCCCGAGAAGAAGATAACAACTGGGTAAGAAAGAAGGGAATGGATCGGAGAAGCAAAATCAAGAGCAGAAATCGAAGAAGAAGATCAAAGAGGAATAGTGCTCATGCAAAGTAAAGGATGGTGAAAACATCCCAAAAATGAAACCCCCATCTATTTATAGGGTTGGGTGGCACGAGAATCGAAGCAAAGGATTGTCAATGGCACCAAAACCAAAGCGACAGACGCACAGATGTTGCATCGGGAAGATGCACCATGATGACGCGCGTGGCCATGACATCATCTCACGATAGCCACACCAACCATAGCTATGATGGCTGCGCCGTTCTCTCGACCTCGGCCAATTCGATCTGATCAACGCGACCAAATTTTTGCTAAACAGACACGAACCGGGTCCGCTTATCGAGGGCGTGCAAGACTACAACCTCAATAAGCGGAGGGACTAACTGCATTGGTCTAAATTTGGCGACTTGGTAATAGCTAGATACAGGATCGAGGACGGGGTCGACTATGGCGTAATAGCGAAAAACGCTCTTTAAGGGCAGCGTAGTCGAGGACGGACAACTAGGGTACAGGAGTAACGGTAGGATAGACTTAGGAATGAATACAAGGAATATTCCTTTGGATATTCCCTATTTTGTATTCATTAGGGTTTCTTGGAAATACCCTCTATAAATAGGAAGAGATAGAGAATAAGAGGGGGATCTTCACTTTCTGAGAAAGACATATTATAAAAGGTTGACTTGAGACAATATACAAAAGTTGTCTTGTTCATTGATTATCTTATCCAAGCACATGTTACTTAATCTTTATTAACAAGATCCAAAGATTCCATAACCATCTTCACTTCTCTTCTTTCCACGTTGTTGTCAGGGGAAAGAACTTTCCAAGTCATATAATAATTGGGTGGTAAATTCTTTCTTATTATCTTTATTGCCATTATCTACATTTATTTCGTGTTTGTATTATCATATTTATTAGCATTCATTGAATACAAACATGCTGATTAACGTTGTTCATCTTACCGACTTCTCATAGTATTTGGTCTAGAATTTATTATTTTTAACTCAGATTCATCCTTCATCTCGTCATTAATTGGTTTAACTAAAAGGCTCAACACTTTTTGGTCAAACAATTTGGCGCCGTCTGTGGGGAGTATTTTAGTTAAATTTTTTAGTTTCTTCTAGATCATAAAGGACATCCATCTTTTTCTTGTCCGCACGAACTAACAATGGTAGGGAAAGGAGATGAAAGACAGAAAGCAATAATGGGTGTCACTACCAACATCTTAAACACCATCAACGAGGATGGCAGAGAAGACACGAGAATGTGACGCCGGGTGTTACACCCACGCGGAGTGACTCACCGCTCCCTCATGGAAGTGTAACCGCTTCATGTGAGAGAGGAGCTTCCACACCCACAGCCGAAGAAGCACCACCAGCAGTGAAAAAATTACTGGAGGAATGGCTGACAAGCACTCTAAATAACATACTCGACAAACCCGCTCAACGGACGAGTAGGAACGTAATACAGACGGATACCACAGCGATCGTAGATGAGCAACCCGCTCCCCCAACAGGTAACACTCACACCGCCGTTGATGCAGGTAATGACGCACTCATGTACAACCTAAAGAAAATGGAAGAAATGGAAAACGAGAACAAGGAACTCCGCGACCAGATGAGGGAGCATCAAGAAAGGGTCGATAAAATACCAGGCGCCCCAAAACTACTACCAAAACGGGATGTCGGCCGATACGTCGAACAACCATACAACGAGGAGGCAGCCCCACATGCCATACCCAAAACCTTTAAGATGTCGTCATACTTGAAGATATATGACAGCACAATGTATTCCGAAGATCACATCATTCACTACGTCACAACAGTAAAGGGTAACGACCTCTCAAAGGAGCAAGTACTGTCAGTGCTACTAAAAAAGTTTGGCGAGACCTTAACCGGAGGAGCCTTAACTTGGTACTCACAATTACCAGCACGATCTATAACAACATTCGAGGAAATTGCCGACAAGTTCGTCACCGCCTACGCCGGAGCTAAGAAAGCAGAAGCTAGAGTAAATGATATATTCGCCATTAGGCAATCGCCTGGCGAGGGACTCAGGGAATTTTTAGCCCGGTTTAACAGGGTAAGAATGAGCTTACAAAATGTATCGGAAGGAATGGCGGTAGCAGCTTTCTAGAACGGGTTGAGCAGGAATGGATCAAGAGCAACTAGAAAACTATTAAGCACACTCATGAAATACCCTCCCACCACTTGGGAAGAAATTCACAACGCCTACTGCGCCAAGGTGAGAGGGCGTTGTGAAAATGTCTAGGCGTTGCAGAAAAGTGTGATTCTGCGGCCCAGAATGTGGTCGCATAACAGCTATGCGGACCGCATGGTCACCGCAGAGTCAAGCAGTGTGATGGTTAATTTTGAGGTCAACTATGCGATCAGATACCCGATATGCGGGCCGCATAGTCGTCGCATAATCCCCTTGGAATTTTTGCAAGGAGCAGTTCTGCGGTGCATTATGCGACCGCAGAACAGGTATGCGGACCGCATTCTTGTCGCATACCCAAGCAGTGTGTTCAGTTTTTGGGACCATTTTTGCGGTCCATTTTGCGGGCCGCATGTCAGGTATGCAATCGCAGATCTGAGTCGGGGCTCCTATTTTCTAATTTCTAAAACACGACCCCATCCCATTAAAAACACCCCATCCAACCTTCTCTATGTTATTTTTACTGAAAATAGAGTGAGAAAAAGAGTTCTAGAGAGAGAGGGAGTGACCTTCATCTAATCCCCACCCAACTCTTACCCAAAAATCTTGAAGATTGTCAAGAGAGTTGCTAGGTCTTCACCCTAAAAAGGTAAGAACTTGTTCCATTATCTGTAATTTCGAAATTTCTATTTAAGATAATTGATTAACAATTGAGTTCTTGGGAAAAAGGGCTAATAATTTTGCATGCATAAGAAATAATGGGTATGGGGAGGATGAGAACTAAAGAGACAACAATTGGAGTATAACATTGAAGAAATCTCTTCCAAAAAGGGACCTAAGATCACAATGCACACTTGGTGCTTGATAGTATACCTGAACGAGCTAAAATCTTAACCATGTCTCTAATTCTTGGTTAGATTTGTAATTCGTATACTATAGATTGAAGTGCTAAGAGTCCCGGAATTTTGTAAGAATTAAGGAAAGCTTTATTGAGGTATGTAT